TTGTAACATGAATGGAAATGTTTCTTTTGATTTTCGAGAGAGTTAACTGATGATATTTATAGATGAGTGCATTATACCATTATTCTATATCCACGTTGACCACTTGTCGTAGGAAAGCAAAGAATTGCAAGAGCTTACACCAGTGCTTTACATTCTATCTCAGAAGTTGTTATTGCACTGTCTGGCTCCGCCTACTCGGACTGTTAAAAATTGAAACAATGAAACCTTTTAACTGTGTACACAGGAAAAAGTGCCACACATGTTTTACGCATGGAATAAAAAAGTTTGTAAAACGTATGTTGTTTGGTGCGTTTAACGCATGTTTTATTCAACATGCGTATAACACACGTGCAATAACACATAAAATATGCGTTACAAAACATTATATCTCATGCGTAAAACATATGTTTGTACAAACGCATGAAAAATACATGTTTGCGTATATTTCACATGAAATCCACACATGATGTCTTTTGATAGCTGTTGTTTTTTTCTTTTGGCTTTATTTTGTTTTTTATAAGGGGCAAGTAACAATTTACAAATGAAAAACTACAGTACGTGGACAAAAGTATACATGTGTGTTTTCAGAAAGTGTGGGAGGCTTCAGAAGATGATGATATATTAGCCTTGAAGTATGTCAGTGCCGAGATGGAGGAGGGTTATCCTGGAGAAGTGACAGTCGTTGTTACCTATATGTTGACAGAAGATAACGAACTCGTAATCCATTATACTGCTAACACCACAAAGAAAACTGTCATAAATCTTACTAATCACGCTTACTTCAACTTGGCTGGTCAGGTAAATCTTTGTGAATAAGAGATACAAGAGGCAAATTTTACTCTTATCTTGCTGTTTTGAAATTCAGACACACTATCACAAGAGAAAGAAATGGTAAAAACAAGTGTTAAAAGAAGCAACTTTCTGTTTTGAAAGTCAAACAACGGCCATCTCGCAAGGGAAAGTAATGGTAAAAGTGATTGGTGACAAACACAATGAAGGGCAGTTTGTGATAAGGTGACCAATTTAGGTAGCCACTTACCAATCTTACTGTTTTGAAAGTCAAACAAGCTATCACGCAAGGGAACGTAATGGTAAAATTAATTGGTGACCCACACATCGAATGGCACTTTGGGTGATACGGTGACCAAGTTAAGTAGCAACTTATCATGCTGCAAATATCTTTATTGCTTATGATCAGACGCGAGTGTGGTAAAAGGTTAACACATAAAGATCAAACTAGCTTGTCCTACAAGAGACATGATGAGCTTGAAAAATAAAACACTTTTATATTGTTCTTGTGTATTAGTTAGTTTTCTCATTTGAATTGTTTTACATTGTCATTTCGGTGTCTTTTGTAGCTTACTATGCGGTATGGGTTTTGTTCATTGTTGAAGCCCGTGCAGTGACCTATAGATGTTAACTTCTTGTCATTTGGTCTCTGGAATCCGGAATATCAAACAGAGAGTCTGTCCTAATCGCATTTATGTTATGATATATGTTATGTTTTGTTTTTCATATATTCACCAAGTCTTTATCAAGTGACTAGAAAAAAAGCAGTGCAGAGTTTTTTTAATTAAATTTTGATGATCATAGCAATTTTTTTTTTTTATTAAATTTTGATAATCATAGCATTTTATTATTTTTTCTAAACATTTTATATCTTTTAATTGTCTTTTTAGATTTTGTTTAGCAGTCTTTCAAAGATTACATTTTCAGCGAATTTACATTTAAACGGTCAATGTTTTAATGGCAAGTTTACTTTATGTAAACATTCTTCAAATTTGGTTTATGAAAAATAATAAAAGATGAAGTACTTTTTAAAATTCATGAAAACTCATGAAAATTTGATGGATGAATTTATATATACATCGCTGCAACGTAACAAACGAACATGTATACGCAAAAGCATTAAAAGGCGTAAAAAAACTTTACAATATTTGACAATTTTCGGACGAAATTCATGTTTCCTCCAAAACACGTTGTATGTTTTTATGTTTAGAATACGAAATCATAGCTCAGAATCACGTGATTCTGAACCTTCTGATATACTTACAGTTATTTGTCATGAGTACTTGAGTTATTTTTATTTTTTCAGGGCACCGGTGATATTTTGAAACATACTGTAGAACTAAATGCCGACAGATACCTTCCCGTAAACGATGTTTCTATTCCAACAGGTAATTTCACGATTCAGACATGAAAACGAATTCTCCCCATCCCCTCCCCAATCCCATTATATGTTCAAAAAGTATGCATCTGTATATTGAAATGAAGTGAATTATAAAATTCCCTTTTCTCCCATGAGAAGTATATTGATCGATTATTAGAGATGTTTTTAAATCGTAGGTACTTCTACCGTTTTTATTTGTTTGATCTGTACAAATAATGATCTATAATGCAAAGTATTTGAATCCATCGATATAATGCATTATTATCGAACTGAACTAATTCATCATCCGATTCTATACTTTCTTTCAGATTGACTTATCAACTTTTGGTCCAATATTTAATGCAAATCCCAAAACCTCCGAAACATCGGCGGGGTTTCATAATCTAACATAAGATGATGTAAGCAGTTACTGTGTATATATAGTCCACTACCAAATACCCCTTTTTGCTCTAATTATGTAGACATTCAAACCGGTTCTGGTCAGTTCAATAAATGATAAACCACACATTGATTAAAGTTGTCTCTTGCAATTTCTTGTCATATCCTTTCTGCACTTTGCACTCTGCTTTTCCGCTAATTTCATTAGAGAAACAGATTCTAGCACTTTATCACGTTAGCTACGATATTTTTCCACTCTCCGTAGTAACTTTGAAATGCTCAGGAAACATTCCGGGCATTTTAAAGTTTAACAATTTAACTATCTCGAGTGGATTAATATCGTGCTCGTCGTATTTACAAGCATCCGTCTGCTGTGTGGGTTATTAATTTCTGACTAACCAGTAAGACGTTGAACAAAACCTTGCTTTGTATCTTTTCGAAGGCGATCCTGAAGCAGTAGAAGGAACTAAAATGGACCTCAGAACTCCCATAAAGTTAGAAACAGTGATCGACGATGTGCCAGGCAATGTAGGGTATGATCATTGCTATTGTTTTAGTGATGCTGGTTGGAAGAAACTCAGAGCAAGGTAAACAAGGTTTAACTGTGAGCATCACAACATTTTATATCGGAGAATCCAGAATATTGAAAAGGAGTGTGGTAGTTTTTCATATCGGTTTAAGATTTGTATTTATAATCCTTTTCTTCTCATTTTGTATTAACCTTATATTTATTGGCTTCATCATTTAGGAGCAGGACCCATTGACCTTCAAATTTGCCACTGTTTTTTTATGGCTACTTGTCTAACTGGGAGGCAGGTTAATTTGGTACACACAAAACGCAGTCGTAGTTGACACTTTAACTCAAGCTTAAACTGAATTTGAAAATCTGTGAATTTTAATATATTTAAGAAGAAAATAACGTATTCTGATTAAAATTGAGAAGCAAAGCGATATCACAGACATTAGTTTATTTCGAATGAAAACAACTGTTCATTATAAGTGTTACGAGGATGTTACAATCTTAATAACTTCTTTAAATTCAAATAACACATTTTAGTCTATAAGATATTTCCGTCTTAATAGCTTCATTAAATTCAAATAATTATGTTTTGTCTTTAAATATCTTGAAGTAATGAAGCGACTTCAAAATTCTTTGTCAGATGTGTAATCTTTCAAATGCATTCCAAAGAATTCTGTTGGTTGCAGGGCTAAATCAGGAAAACCGTTTTTAAAGAATTAAAATAAATTAAAAATATAAAATATAACGATGTCAACCTTCATCAACTTTAACATGAATTATTGAAGGGAACTCGATTTTTACAGGGTTTATGAGGAAGTAAGTGGTAGGAAATTAGAAGTCTACAGTACAGAACCTGGTATGCAGTTCTATACTGGATTTTATTTAGATGAACCTGGTAAAAAAGGTGGACATTATCATAAATATAACGGGTTTGCATTAGAAGCACAACATTATCCAGATAGTCCACATAATGTAAGTATGCGTCTCTCTTATAATAAACTAGTAAGACATATGCCTATATAGGTGACCTTTAGATGCTTAGCTAATTCTGTCCATGTGGTATCTGGTGAATGTCTTACTTATGTCATCTCATGACGCAACAACTGAAAGTTCAATTTGTGACAACATACCACTGCATGGTTATATTTTCTTGACGTTTTCTGTCAGTAAGAATAGGTAACATTATATTGTCCCTAATTAATTTAAGCATGTCCACAGATGACCACGGATCGTAGCCACAATCCCGTCCTCTTTTCCTCAATTTGGAAATCACCGATTTAAATTATCACCGAATTTTTTACTTAAAATGAGCAACAAGACGGGTGTCAAATGTGAAAGCAAGTTCTGCTTAACCCCCAGAGAACCAGCACGAAATCATTCCAGGGTTTTTGTTTGGTTTAGCGTTGCTCAGTCTTTATTTTTCTATGTAGTGTTTACTAGCATTTCGTCGTTTTTATGGTTTCTCTTCAACTTATGAGTCTTGACTGTCATTTTATTATCTCCCACCCTTTATTTACATTGTGACCATAATTCCACTTGTTTTCTTACAGAAAAATTTCCCATCAACAGTACTATCACCAGGAGAAACCTATTTACAGACAACATCATATAAGTTTGGATTAGTATGAGGAGTATACATGAAATAATTACAGAAAATGACAAAACTGTTTGGAGCATTAATACTGAGTAGCAATCAGACCCAAAAATGATAGCTTATACATGTTTAATGCTTTGAAAAAGATGGGGATTCATGATGCAGTCGTATTGGCTGGGTTATACGACGCCAATAATTAAACTTGTATTAATATTAAATGTGGGTATTAATGAAAAAGTGTAACAATTTGCATGAATAAAATTCTATATATTGAGTTGTGTTTCTTTTAAATGTTTAGCTTTGTGGGATATGATAAATTGATGATGAAAACAACCATGTCAAGTAAAATAACATGTTTTTTGACAATTTTATTAACCTTCCGACATGAAGTTCACATTTCTGTCTTGTCACGTTTATACATAATCATTTATCTTTTTTACCCTGAAATAAAGTATTAAAAAACATGAAGGTACAAAGTATCATCCTTTGTCAGTTTCAGTCTCTTCTTTATCTTTTGATAAAGCATCTTGATAAATAATAGCTACGATTTCTTCCAAGTTTTGTTGTTTTCCAGAATGTGTTTTATTAACCACAGCACCATCTAAACATGGATCCTGTGAAGACAAAGTTTGTGTATTTCTTTCCAATAACTGATACATTTGACCTTCTTTCGTTTTCTCAAGAGCTGTTAGCATTTCTTTGGCAGTTGGTTCCTTTGTCTGTTTTCCTTTCACTTTGTTTAGTCGTCTCTCTGCAGAAAAAAAAACAAGCAAATGTGGAAACAAATTGAATCGGCAGTGCCGGTTAAGAAAAATGAGCGTCAAGTTTATGGCTAAATGAACATAAATAAAAAAAAACAGTAGAAAATACTGACCAGTATAATAGTTTTATGCTTGATATCTGCAAATGACTATGGGCAGATTTGAAACAAAGCCAGATTAAAAATGGGAATCATGTAAGATGGTGCGTTCCATTATGCCAATGAATAATGATAAAATTAGGTGAAATTTACCTCGCAGGTTGAGGACTTGGTATGAGTTGACACACTAAAACGTCGAGCCTGATATAATATTTTAAAAGTTCATAACTACAAACCATGCCCTGATGTAAAGTTAACCTATATAATACTTATGTAAACAGGATAAAATCTCGACCAAATATTGTTGACCAGCCATGTGTAATTTTTATCTAAACACTTTAACCGGACCACTGGAAAGCAATCTAGAGGCTCAAAAGAGCTTGTGTCGCTCACCTGCATCTTAAACTATGGCCACTTTTAGTAAAAATCCTCATTAAATGGGAACAACTCTATTAAGAGTTAACTGACAATTTCAGTCATGTAGACATATTTGTAGATCTTATCCTACTGACATTTTTTCCTTCCTAAAGTTTCTATCTATCTATTATAGTTTCAAGATGATAAGCAAAACATGCAAAAAAATGTAAAAATATATCATCACTGACGATTTTAACCATATGTCTTATTTGTAGATCTTGTCTTGCTGATCATTTGTGCTATTTAAAGTTTCTATCTTCAAGGTATTAGGCAAAAACGCAAAACTTTTGTAAAAATCGTCATTAAAACGGCAATAACTCTAATAAATATTTTGGTCTTTTGACTGATTTGTAAATTTTGTCTTGCTGATAAGTTTTGCTATTTAAAGTTTCTGTCTATCCATTATAATTTTCGAGATAATAGGGAAAAAAAATTAAAAATGGTAATATTCGTCATTTAAGGGCAATACTCCTATAAGAAGTCGTCTGACAGTTTTGATGTAAATGGACAAGAGTTGGAGCTCATCATTTTGAACATTATTGCACTAGTCAGAATTTCTCTATTTATAGCAGTTTTCAAAATAATAGGCAAAACTTGCATTTTATCCCTATGTTCTATTTTTAGCAATGTCGGCCATCTTGGGTGGCAGACGGGGTCATCGGACACATTTTTCTAACTAGATTACCCAATGATGATTGTGGCCAAGTTTGGTTAAATTTGGCCCAGTGATTTCAGAGGAGAAGATATTTGTAAAAGTAAACGGACGACGACGATGGACGACGGACGCTAAGTGATGAGAAAAGCTCACTTGGCCTTTCGGCCAGGTGAGCTAAAAAGAGGTCAAGGCTACATGTCAAAATGACACATGCTACTTTCCAAGAACAGACATGTCTACATTATAAAAACTGTCGACCTGTCAAGAGTTGTCTCATTGGCACTCATACCACATCTTCTTATATCTATATAACTTGAAATAGAGGCGGAAGATACCAAAGTGATTTTCAAACTGATAAATAGAAGAAAACTGATAATGCCACGACAAAAAAACGAAAAACGACAAAAAGACAAACAAACAACAGTCTACAAAAGAAAACTAATAAAACTAAAGACTGAGCAACACAATCCCCACAAAAAACCGAGGGTGGTCTCAGGTGCCTCAGAAGGGTAAGCTGATCTTGTTCGTCGTATTTTTTTACACAAATAAATTGATCACTGTAGCCTAAAACTGAGGTCAAGACCATGCATCATATTTTAATCGGACATATACTCCAGGCAATTAATTCACATACAGGTATCATATAGTGTCGATCGGATGTACATATTTTATAGGAAAGATCCCAAGTCCTAACAAAACCCAAGTATAAGATCTGCATATTCGTGGTAACAAAATTTTGTCTCTGGATTAGAAACCATGCTTCTGTGACACCGTTGCAACTTCGCCTCCATTGTGCCCAGCACCCTAGACAATTTGGCAAACTAGGCTGTGTAAAAGCATAGCTTTCTTTAGTAGAGTGATGTCATTCATAGTTGGATTCATCTAGGGTTGCAACACAGATCATGATCTATTTGGACATGTAGATCAGCTGTTTTAAAATACTTTCCATGCAGTCACATACATAATTGTTCTAGTTCGTATTTGTATAAATTATTACGTTCATTACTTATTGTTAAAATTCTATTCTGAAATTTAAATCCACTGTGTTACACATTTTTTTTTATTACTTTAGAAAGTTTATATAACATACTGTGAAGTCACACTTCTACAAAAAAAACACCAACTATCGCTGACCTATTTACTTCGGATTAGGACTCATTTCAGAAAACGTAAAACTTCAACTGATCACATTAGCATGAAAATGAATTCAAAGTTTCAGTGTCAATAACTGACTTCCAAGAGAAACTAATTTATAAAATACAAAAATAATTGTGTTTAACTATGATAAAACAAGGATAAGATAAAAACAAAAAAAAACATCTCAGGGTTGACCGGAGAATAGAAATACGGTAACCCTGAATTCTCCAATCCGGTATTGAAACCCATGCTGAAGGGTGTCTTGTTTTGTTGTCCGGATGTATAAATACACAACCACGTTCGGTCAACATAAGGAGACATCTAAAGGAACTTTACATAACAATTTGAGGGGATCTTAGGTGGCCTGTAGCAGGACTAAAACATTTCACGTACCAATCGCATACTCTTTTTCCAGCGATAGAACATATACCTGGTAGATTTACTGATATTTGTTATCGTCCTGAATGTCATTCGTGAATATGCATGATATATTTGACACTGGTCGTTGAGAAAACAACAATCAAAATAATAACTACCCAAGTACCTAAGTCCACCTAAGAGTCACCTAAGCCTCTCCTCTAAAATATGTTACTAGTATATGAAGTACAGCAAAAATACATTTGGTCAAAACTATAACTAACGCTTCATGCCCTGAATGAATAAGAATAGAACATTCTAGATTACAGTCTGATTCAGAATGAATAAGATAGTAATTTATCAATCTACAATGTACAAGCTAAGCCTTAATCTACCACATCCTCTTATTTTAATATTGATTAGCAGTATAAAAGATCTGACAAAAAGATCATTTTACCGTACATACTACATAAGCATGAATAAAGATAGGAATATATTATTCTAAAGTATAAGGTTAATCAGCATGAATAAATGCGGGAGCCGGTATATCATTTTAGAGTACATGTAAAATCAGCATGAATAAAGATATAGAAATAGGTCACTTAAAATTAGTGGACAAGTGGCTGTTAAATGTCCAGGGGCAAATATTACGTGCATTGACTTGATTATCATAAATAAATTTTTTAACCATAGGCATATGATCTCGTACAAAAAAAGGCACATGAAGTAGATCTGTGAGAAGAAGGGAGGTAATCGAGGTTATCAAATAAATCTTCAGAAAATATAAAGAAATCAATGATCTTTAACCTACCTAAAGAGTCTAAGTACCGCTCTGAGCTGATAAGATCATGTAACGGTTCCACTGGTGGACCATTTTCTAATTTGGTTGCTGTGCTTTTCATAATTTCTTCTTACCGGAAGTAAATAATAACATAAACATTGCAATATGAATACAAATGGTTGTTTCCCTTTTGCCACTAAGTGAATGTAAACTAAGAATTTAACCATTCCAACTTCTTAATTTTTGTTCATGGATCTTCATGGTCAACTTGAAACTGAAACTTTTTTTAGATTACCTTTGGTAATATTGTTGAAGCCCGGCCTTGGCATGGAAGTTCCCTTATAATATAAGTAAAAAATGGAAGAAATATAACTGTTACAGTATTTGTTCCTGACGAAATAAAGGGTATAGGATACCGGTATCTGTTCCAACAGATTTTTAATAACAGAGTTTTCACAGGAATAAATATGCGTTAACAGATCGTACGATGACCTGTAGTTGTTCACATCCTTGTCCTTTGGTCTTTGCGTGATAATTGTCTCATTTGCCATCATACAACATCTCCTTATTTTTACATGAAAGACAATACAGAACTTCTTTGCTTTGGGTTTTGACAAGTGCGTTTAGGGATTTTGTGTCATGAATTAATACACCATATGATTCCCATATTCCTTGAGGGGTGACACGCTTTTAGGATGTGGCCGGAATATAGGGAAAAAAAGGGAAAAGTAGAAAAAAAATACAAAAAAGCGGGATTTGGAAAATGATCACCCTCGTGTTACCCCCTCTTCCTTCTTTACCATTCCGATAGAGTTAATTGTGGTTTGGGCGTCCTTTCGGCCTGAAGATAGAGAACAACAATACAGTGCTATTCCCTGGATTTTGATTTTGTTAAATGCGTGTATGAATTTTGTGACAAGAATTAGTATATGTTATTCGGGAACTTCACAGGGGATATGGTGTATACTGGAGTGAAATATCTCGGCTAACCCTGCAATTTGATTGGTCACCGTGACAGGGAATATGAGCCCATATACCCTGTGGACAAAAACGAAGATAAAAATGTTAGATAATGTTAAGATCAGGACACGTCAGTATAATATAATTGTTGTTCGAGCTACACAGGGGATATGGGCTCTTACTCCCTGTCAGTGCCCTATATATGTATCCCCTTCGGCTGACGGCCCAGGACATATAAAACGCGGACATGGAATATGAGCCCATATACCCCTGTGAAGATCCCGAATAATACATATTAATTATAGACACAAAATCCATACACGTATACACCATATGCTTCTTTTTCATTATACGTTTGTTCACTGTGTTATTGTACAAGTTAGGGAACCTATACTATTGGTATTCGAATTATTGTTCGTGGTGGGGCCGTGGCCACAACAAAGAAAATACTGTTCGTCACGAGATAATCATTATTTCGATAATAAAAACAGGTTTGGAAAAAGACATAAGTCAATTATGATTTATGATTTACATGTACATAATTATAAATAGTTATAAATTACGTGGTTTAACTTTGTACTTTAATTCTAATTTCCATATTTGTGAATGATGGTCCTTGAAACTGATCAAAATCCAAGTTGAAAAAATAGTATAAAGAGGTTTTACCGCAACTGTAATCATCGTACGTAGAAAAAACAACAACAACATGTAAAACATTTACGAAGTAAGAGGTGAATGACCCAAGACGGGTGTTCGTCAATACTAATGACCATGATCAAACCAGTCGGTTCCCCCAACCCCAATGTTCTAGTATCTTCTAAATGGTCGAGATCCCCACCCTAAACCATACATATTCTGGTTTGTCGTGCCAAGATGATTTGAATGATAGACAGGGTTAGTCAACAGGCATCACTAATGCATATATCTTCACTGGACCAAACCAATTTTCACTGGACTTTGCCCAATGTCAGGCGACCCTGGGAATAACGAATTATGGGAGATTCGTTTGTGAGACTTTGAACAGCATCTTGTTACAATCATTTCTTGTTTTTTTTTTCATGTGCATAGGTGTGGTCAACTTGAAACTGAAACTTTTTTTTTGATTACCTTTGGTAATATTGTTGTAGCCGGGCCTTGGCATGGAAGTTGCCTTATAATATTAGTAAAAAAAATGGAAGAAATATTCTGGAATATTATTTCCACTGGAAGAAATATAACTGTTACAGTATTTGTTCCTGACGAAATAAAGGGTATAGGATACCGGTATCTGTTCCAACTGATTTTTAATAACAGAGTTTTCACAGGAATAAATATGCGTTAACAGATCGTACGATGACCTGTAGTTGTTCACATCCTTGTCCTTTGGTCTTTGCGTGATAATTGTCTCATTTGCCATCATACCACATCTCCTTATTTTTATATGAAAGACAATATACAGAACTTCTTTGCTTTGGGTTTTGACAAGTGCGTTTAGGGATTTTGTGTAATGAATTAATACACCATATGATTCCCATATTCCTTGAGGGGTGACACGCTTTTAGGATGTGGCCGGAATATAGGGGTAAAAAAGTGGGATGTGGGATATAGGAGGTAAAAAGGGGGATCTTGGGGGGGGAAAAGGGAAAAGTAGAAAAAAAATACAAAAAAGCGGGATTTGGGAAATGACCACCCTCGTGTTACCCCCTCTTCCCTCTTTGCCATTCTAATAGAGTTAATTGTGGTTTGGGCGTCCTTTCGGCCTGACGATAGAAAACAACAATACAGTGCTATTCCTTGGCTTTTGATTTTGTTAAATGCGTGTATGAATTTTGTGACAAGAATTAGTAAATGTTATTCAGGAACTTCACAGGGGATATGGTGTATACTGGAGTGAAATATCTCGGCTAACCCTGCAATTTGATTGGTCACCGTGACAGGGAATATGAGCCCATATACCCTGTGGACAAAAACGAAGATAAAAATGTTAGATAATGTTAAGACCAGGACACTCCAGTATAATATAATTGTTGTTCAAGCTACACAGGGGATATGGGCTCTTACTTCCTGTCAGAGCCCTATATCCCCTTCGCCTGACGGCCCAGGACATATAAAACGCGGACATGGAATATGAGCCCATATACCCCTGTGAAGATCCCGAATAATACATATTAATTATAGACACAAAATCCATGCACGCATACACCATATGCCTTCTTTTTCATTATACATTTTGTACAATTTAGGGAACCTACTATTGGTAATCGAATTATTGTTGTGGTGGGGCCGTGGCCACAACAAAGAAAATACTGTTCGTCACAAGATAATCATTATTTCGATATTAAAAACAGGTTTGGAAAAAGACATAAGCCAATTATGATTTATGATTTACATGTACATAACCATAAATAGTTATAAATTACGTGGTTTAACTTTGTACTTTAATTCTAATTTCCATATTTGTGAATGATGGTCCTTGAAACTGATCAAAATCCAAGTTGAAAAAATAGTATAATGAGGTTTTACCGCAACTGTGATCATCGTACGTAGAAAAAACAACAACAACATGTAAAACATTTACGAAGTAAGAGGTGAATGACCCAAGACGGGTGTTCGTCAATACTAATGACCATGACCAAACCAGTCGGTATCCGTACGGATTTGTGTCATCTCAACAAATCATTCCCAACATGTTTAGGTAAACAGTAGCTCAAATTCATTTTTATTTAGACTTGTCCCTGTGTATACTAGACCACCATACAATAATGCAACAATGCACATTATAACGCACTGTCATAGAGACCTAAATGAAGAAGCCGGGGCATGTTTTCTTTTTTTATCTAACGGTGGATGACAAACTTGGTCATACTGATTTAAATTCATTCACTGTTGGTTATACAGTTAACGTGTTCAAACTCCTACAAAATATGCTTCATGATTGACTGTAGACATATTATTTTAATAAGCATTAATAAGAATCAACTGTACAAATTATATTTTAAACATAGAATATAGTTATAAAGGTTCACGGATATTTATTAATGTGTAAAATCGGCCTTTCACTCACAAACATAATAACCTTTATCCCTGCATATCATTTCTATCAAATGCACTAATATTATGTCAGTAGAACATAAAAACCTTATTGGAATTATGATATAATTTGGTTAATGAGTCCAACATCAAAGTCTATTTGGGCACTTACAGACTTTTTTGCCTGTGAATTCCTATTCGTATCGTCATTATACGGGTTTATACATTATAAACTTTTAGGTTGCCTAGCATTCAACATTAGGATTTTGTAGTTTGAATACGTTAGCTTCTCCATGGTCAATAACATGGAAGAGGAATGGCCAATGTTGTCAACTGCCTTTGTATTTGAATTGACTTTGGCTACTTTAAATTAGACTTTAGCTACTTTATAATTCGAAATCGACCTAAAAGAACAAAAATACGCACTCTAGAAACAAACCAAATAAATAAATGGAAAAAAATAGATGTATGAATATCTGCAAGTCTAATTGGCATATATTTTAACAATTAAATAGGTGAGGCAATATCTATTTCGTAATACTAGTATGGTCTGCGTTCTGCTTAGGCACGTACAAACACATCGATCAAACTCAAAATATTGTTCAATGATGGAACAAGGGCGATACTGATATACAACATTCTATTTAGAAGCAGGTTCTGTTAAAAATTATGCACCTATGTATGACGTAAATTTGATTAATGAGTCTAACATCAAAGACTACAAAGCAATTAAGATACACCTGTGAATAAGGTAAACCTAATTTATGTGATGGCAATAGATGTATGAATTTCTTAAATGATATTGAAATGACAATTTAAGTGACTACATTAAAATATTTTAAGTGAATGTCAGTTGCTTAACCTTTTTATTTTAGTTTAAGCTAACCTTGGTAAGGTCAATCATCAACGTTGTAGCAAGATCCTGTTACAAAGAAGACATGTACAACTGCAATCCTTTTCGTGTTTTATACTTAAATGTAGGAAAAGAGTATTAGAATATACATGCATATGTACGTAATGATCGAATTCACAAAATATGTATCACACGAAGACTGGGGGTAAACTATGCACTTTGAAAAATTACCTTTCTTAGGTAAGCTTCAACTAAAATCAAAAGGTTATACAACAGACATCCAATTGAAATGATTAAAGGGAGTAACTTAACTGTTCATTAGAAATTCGTTTCATTTTAGTCTGCATGGAAA